GGGTACAAAGCAAATTAATAATAAAACTGGCATGAACCCCCAAGTCTTCTGACACCAAATCAATGCTAGAATGACATGGTGAGTGCTTCCTCTTCCTTCAGAATTTCTCTTTGAAAGCCATTGTCTTTGGATGCATAAAATACCTGACACTGACACACACTTGCCCGCTGTTCTCAACGGCAATATTTTGACCTTAATAGTTTTTATCTCAAAGTAAGCATCTTTCTCCTGAATTCACTTTCTTTCATTCCAAACATAAACCTCTAGCTTAATTTCATTAAGAATTCCCTCAGCAGTGCCTTCAACCCTCCAACCTTTTGTTCTCAAACACATAAATCCAATAAACTTCTAGGTCTTCCTGAAGTATAGGAATCATGGCTTTTACATTGTGACATAATAAAAAATGTATATTTTGTCTCTCCTACCAGTTCCTGACAAAGAGCTACTAAAACCTTTGTAATTTCTTGAGCAATTAGGATGCTAGGTACACCTATTTTTCTAATATTTGCTCTTTGACCATGGTTCCTGATGCGGAGCTCCTAATAAAATGTTCTCGGTGATAAAATTGTCTTTTGCTCTAATGAGGTGACTTTTGATTTTCTTGGGCTCCTGGGTGAGAGCTGATCACCAGAAAGGCCAAACCATGATTAAAAACTTGAACTTTTCAGCCTCACCCCCAAAACTCTGGGAAAGGAGATCCTGGGGTAGTTGGAAATGATTTTTGCCCTTACCTTTGGGAAGCTCTTTATACATGCTGCTGCTGCACAGCAGGTCTAGCGAAACCTTGGAGAGCCATGGGTCTGGGAGAAGGGTCAAGAGTAGAGAGCAAACATGTGTTTATTTAAAATTCTCCTCTCATTTGAGACAACTTACCTTCCAATGAGAGCCATAAACTTAAGCTGTATTAAAAAGGCTTGTTTCTTTATTCATCCACGGAAAAATAAAATTGTTTTTTACCCCCTTCTGTGCAAGGCAAAGACTAAATATTGGTGTTTTCTTAATAAATATTTATGTGTATGTAAATAAAGTGAAAGTCTTTAAAACTCCTGATAGTTGTGAACTGATCATAAAGTTTGATGCAGAACTAACATCTCTGACTGTCTGAGAAAACAGATTGAAAGGAAATCAATTCAAACCAAAAGTAATGGAAGGAAGCTCTTTGTATATGCTCGGAATAAATAATAAAGCCAGAGTGATAGCATTGAGAAACAATTTAAGGTAAGAATATCGGGAATAGAAACTGACGAAAAAAACAGTTTATTTTCTAGATCATGGGTGTGGCAAACTAAGGTTATTAACATGGGTGTGGCAGACTAAGGTTTTTAACAACAGTGGACTTGAATAGTCAGCCAGTACAGAGACCAGAAATCTGAAATTATGCCCTCCTTTAAGCAAATTTGTTTTAAATAATTTATTTGGTGGTAGGACTGTACTACATGCTGGGTGAGCAGTATCTAACATAGTCTCTGTCCTCAATTTCTGAGTGTATATTTTAGTACTGAAATGCATAGTAATTAGTCAATTTAATATACAATAGCAATTACAATAAATGCTATGAAGGATAATTGTATGAGGAATTAATGAGTATACAAATTTGAATACATTCAATTAAGGAAGTCGGAGAAAGGATCCTCAGGAAATAATAATTGATCAGAAAGATGACAGAAGAGTTGCCATTAATTAGATTTACCATGTCTATCTCTATAACACAAAAGCTGGACCCTTCCTATATTTTATTCTTTAAAGTAGTAATTATTTAAAATGACTAAAAGGAAAATATTTTCCTCTTTAATTTACTTGGTTTTCCTCTAAATTCTAAGTGCTACACAAAAAGGTTTGTAGAAAATGTTGGACTAAACGTGAATGAGAGCAATGGAATTGACAGTTTTACCAATGCTGTGAAAAGCAATTAATCAATGTCACTAGGGGCCAGTAGGTTAACACTTCTTTTAAACAAAAAGTATTTTCACATCTGTAAAAGTTAAGAAAAGGAAAGCAATTCAGACCTTTTAAAAAATGTTTATTTTTCCTCTTCGAAGTCTCACTGTGAGACCAGTATTATTTTAATGACTACATATTTAAATGGTAGACTCAATGGTGGCTTCTTTGCTTTGCTTTGTTTTGCTTTGCTTTGCTTTTTCCCCTCCTCTCCTCCCAACTTCACAGGCGATTTTTCCAGACAGGATCTAGTAATTTAACTATAGGGGGAAAGTCTCTAACAGGCCAGAAAACCATGAAGGGTAAATCCACTATGTGTCTTCCTTGGAGAATGACATACTCTCTCATTGCTGCCCCACAAGTTGACTGTATCAGTGTATCTATGAAAGACCTGTCCTCAGATAGAAAAAGAAGAAAAGGTAAAACATAGAAATATTATCTATCATTTCCCCAGACAGTATTTATGTAACACAGAGAAATCAGGTCAATCAGGTAGCCAGGCAATTTTTTTTTTTTTTTTGAACATTATCAATTGTTCAAATTTACTAGACATTTTTCTTAACTAAACCAAATGAATAATTTGACACCATGGAGAGATAGCCTTACTCAATTTGTTTATTTATTTTAAATATTAATATTATTGTGAAATATTAGAAGGAGAGCTATATCTAATGTCTTTTATTCTTATCTTAGTTTTCCCAAAAGTAAAACATTTTTTGAATGAGAAGTTTATACTAGATTCTGAAATTCCATGACCTTTAATACATAGTGATGGAAACACGAGGATGACCATGACCACCTATATGTTCTTCTAGTGACACTTCATACGCAACAGTGTGATAGCAGAGATTGAGACTTAAAATTGTATTATGCTTTTGAGCACATTACACCTTATCATCTATACTTTTCTCATTGCAAAATAAACAAGAGGAGTAGAAAATGATATTTCGTTGAAAAAGTCAACTTATGTGTTTATCAGTTTATATTGATATAACAGGGAGTCCAAGTCTTAGTGGCACAACATAGCAAAAGTTTCTTACATACATTAAATTTATTTCTGACATATGCAATCTTCACCACAGTTTGGCTGAGGGTTCTGTTCATTGTAGCCACTCAGGAATCCATTGTATTGTAAGAGCTGCCATCTTCAATAAGGCTAATCACTATGCTAGAGAGAAAAGACATTTCTGAAAAGCCTTGCAGTAATAATTAAATATTTGGGCCCAGAAGTGACATACATCATCCCACTTACAATCTACTGGCCAGACCAACCACATGGCTTCACACAATCATAAGAAAACCATGAAGGGTAAATCAACTATGTGTCCAGAAGGTAGAAACCCAGAAATATTTTAGGTACCACGTTAATAAATGCCATACCCTCTTAGGAGTAAACAGTGATGTCAGGACCAAAATAGATTGCTCATAGCCATCTATGGGTTTCCTCTTTGCTAGATTTCCCCAAGGCAGTTCTGAGGGCAGAAGAAACTAACACACACACACACACACACACAGATGTAAATACACATATATACACACTTTCATACTTTCTTTTCTCCTTCCCAGTACTATTCAGTTTAAAAAAAAAAAAAAAAGTATCTTGCTTAAGGCAATAAATTGATGTGATGAGATCATGAGAAATGCTGTAAAAGCTCGAAGATGGGTTCAACTTACTTTGTAATAAAAGTTGGCAGCTGCAAGTGGTCTGGATTTTGGCTCAAGAGTGTCACAGTGTAGGAAAAGGGCATAAACACAAAGGGAAGATACAGTGACAGGAAGGATAGAATCTGAAGAAAAGTATTTCCAGGTCTTAGACAAATGGAAATATATAAACAATTGGAAAATAGATGATCAAAAGAGCAAAGACATCTGAGAATAAAGATAGACGACAATTTTATTAGATTCATTCATTCACTTATTTATTCTTTCAGCAATTACTAACTGATGGCTGACACCTGCTAAACCTGTAGTTGGCTCTTGATACAGAAAGTACAAGATCAACACAGTCATTCACTCCATGGAACTCATAGGCTTACACATAAAAGGGTAATATTATTATCATAACTAATTTTTAACCTTCACTGAGAACTACTACAAACACATGAACTCTGTGTTCATTGGAAATTATACCAAAAAAGTAACAAATGTCAATCTTACTTGCTTCTTAAATCTATCAATATCAAAAATCTTATTTTTCAGCCTGCTTCTTAAATTTATCAATATCAAATATCTTATTTAATTTTAATAAAAACAAACTTATGAAATAGTACTAGTATCATGTCCATTTATGAACAAGGACACTGAGTCTCAGAGAGATTTAACAACTTGCCAGAAGTTTTGCACTAGAGCCTAAATTCAAATTTGACAATTGTGACCCTGTTTCTCACACTCCCAATTATTGTTCAACAACAACAACAAAATAATAAAATAAGTCACATGCAGGAGATTCTGTGCAATGAGAAGCAATGGGAAGGGCATAAAGAAGGGAAATAACATTATCAGAGTTAATTTTCAAAATGTGATGGTCAACATGTATCTAAAATAGACTGTAGAAAGTCTAGAGTAGAAGAAAAAGGAAAACAAAGAAATTTATTGAAGTATTTTAAAGACATGAAATTGGATTAGGGTGGTGGTAGAAAAGGTGGAGGAAAATGGTCAGATTCTGCAATACCTTGAACATACTGTTCCCAGATTGCATGTGGGTTTAGGAAAAGAGGGGAGAAAGTTGTTCTTAGGTTTGTGTCCTGATCAGTTGGGTGAATAATGTGCTATTTACTGAGATGGAGAAAAACATAAAAGTTTGGGGGCAGGAGAAATAAAAAATTCTGCTCAGAAATCTTTCAGTTTGAAATAACATATTAAGCCTTCCAGGGGAGAAGAAGAAATGTCGGTCTGGCCATTGGGAATACATGTCTGGACTTCCAAAAAAAAAAAAAAAAAAAAAGAGAAACAAACAAGACTGGAGGCATAAATTTGGGATTCAATAGCATACAGATGGCATTTAAGTCATAGTCCTGGATGTCTGAGTATAAATAAATCTCTGGGACTTTCAACATTTTCAGGTCAGGAAAAGGAAGAGGAACCAACAAAGAAGACTTAGAAGCAGTGGCCAATACAACAGGAAAATAACCCGGGGAATGTAGAATCCTGAAAGCCATGGAAGGAATGCCTCCAGTTTCAAAGGAAAAAGGTGATCAACTGTGTCAAAAGTTGCTGCTGATATGTCAAGTAAAATAGTGTTTAATATGTTGGAGTTCATTGTCAGTATACATATTGTCATTTAGATTCAGGTCAATCTTCACTTCTGATTTGTTAGAGATTTTAGTAACATAGCTGTAGACCACAGTTTTATTTTTTCTTTGGAAGCTACTGTTACCAAAACTTGAATTTTCAAGGCTTACTCCGTTGAAGAGGCTGGTTGTTTTCTCCTAAAAACCTATGTTTAACTTAAATAGCTAGTATCAGATAAGCAGTAGTGTCTGGAACTTTTAGCCAGTATAAACCATATAATCTCTTGCTACATGATAAAATAATCATATATATTTAAAAAACATACTCATAAAATGATCATCAATAAGTAAAGAACAGTTGCACCATAGTAACTCCAATTTGGCACACCATTTATCCTATTGGTCCTCTTTGCATATTGGTTTTCAGGAAAACTTTTTTGTGTGTGTTCTGCCCTACAACTGCCATTTGGAAATTTGCTGTTCAAAGCCCTCTTGCTGCCTGTGGCTGGCTGCTATGCTTTTAGAGCAAAGGCACAGAGTAGGACTGATCTATACAAGTATTCTAAAATAGTGTCATTAAGCCCCTTAGTTAATTAGGTCTGGACTGCTCCCTTCTGCAATCAGAACAGGAATTATATGCTCATTTCCTCTCTTACAATGTCACCAAAAGAAAAAAAAAATCTTTACAGAAAATATGGCAGCTCCAGATGGTGACTTTCCATCAATTAAGAAAACAGATAATTTTAGTTAACCCTTGGAAATCTTACTGTCATCATTTTTTTCTCTTTTTTAAATCTATTAACTCTATAAATGATCTTACCATATGTTTGCTAATGATTAATTATCTATAAATACTGGACTTTATAAACACTTATGCTCCATATAAAGTTAAAAATTAAGAAAAACCAATACATTTTCCTAGTTAACACATTAAATATATTTTAACAGAAAAATGATAACCCATGTACATGGGATTATCTGTCATTTTTAGATGTCATTCTATTGTTCACAGCACCAGGCACCCTGACAGCACCAGGCCAGCAACTCTGCAGTCACCATTACCAGCTCTATTACCCACCACATGATGCCTCTATCCTTTCTCTTGAGCTCTAGCTGCTAAGAATTCCATGTAGATTAAAACATTCCAAATGTCTATATCTGAACAGCTAATTTCTTATTTTACATATTTTCCTTAGCTATTTTGCAAGCATCTAAATGCTCTTGAGCACTTCCATCCCATAATGGGCAAAGACAGCACACACACAAAAAGAGGCAATCCATTTGACTGCTTGTCAGTTGCAGTTCTGAAAAATGTATTTCCCTCTGGACAAGAGATTGGTTATGATTCATTAAACTCATTGACTTACTATGAACTCTTTTCGATTTCCCTAGTAACCCCCTTCCCCAGAAAAATGGTAATTGAACCAACACATTATACAAATCAGAAGTTTCACTAAGATCTTTTTTGATTCCAAAAAATAAATTTAGTGAAGATACCATGATTTTCATATTGACCAAGATGTCCTTAATATTGTCCTCAGCTTAACTGAGTTTTAGACAGGCTTCTTCCTGCCTAGAGGCCCCTGACCTCCCTTTACTTAGAGCACTTATTTTATTAAACTTGCCCTTGTTTTTTCTTTTCTCCTTTGAGATGTAAATCTTCAACGCAGGAATACTTTTTAAAAAAGAATTTGTGAGTCATCCCATTGAAATGTAATTGTCAAAAAAGATAGAGCCCTGTCTCTCTTCCTTTATTGGAGGGTAGGAGGCTTTTTTTCAACAAGTGATCATTAACAAACACACAACCTGACCACATGGAGAAAATTCCCTCATAACATCCTGCAGTGCTTTTCCATTAGCTCACTCCAGTGGTTAAAAAGTCTCCCAGCTTTTTTTGCAGGGGGATTAAATTCAATCTCTCTCTTCTATTGCAAGTCTTGACCCTTACTGCAATAGTCTTGAATGAGATCTTCCTTTCCGTTTTTAATAAGTACCTGGTGCAATTATTTTTTATAGTATCATAACAGGAGCTGTGAGAGCTGTGGTCACAATATAAATGTAATTCTCATCCTACAGAGCTCACAGTCTGTTCAATAAATAGAAATGAAAATGCATGAGAGAATTACTGAAAAAGTCAGGGGAATAGAGGTTCTATGAGAGAAGTCAATGTGATTTGGAAATGGCCTACAAATAAGATCGTTAGTTAATACCTGTGTGAACGCAAAGGTAATGCTGTTCAAAGAGCAACTCTGATTTTGCCACTAACTGCTCTGTGACCTTGAGCAGGTTACTTAATATCCATGGATCTTGGATTTTTTCATACATGAAATTGAGACAATCGTTGATTTTGCTAGGTGATGAAAGTTAAAATTAGCAACTATGATATGATAGTTGTAAATTTCTAAATTTTTTATATATATTAAATTACTCATTTATATATTTATATTAAATCTTTAAATCAAATGCCCGAGTCAAGTCTCAATTTAGAGTTGTTTTTTTGGTTTTTTTTTTTTTTTTTGCCAAGGTTAGGGATCATGGCCCATGACACAGTCTCAAGGGGTCCTAAGAACATATACCCATGGTGTTGGGTTACAGCTTGATTTTATACATTTTAGGGAAGCAGAATTTATAGTCAAAGACATAAATTAATACATTGGCTTGGTATAATTGGTTCAGCCCCAAAGGCAGGACATCTGGAAGCAGGGGGCTTCCAGCTCATAGGAGGATTTCAAGATTTCCTTATTGACCATTGGTTGAAAGAGTTAAGCTCCGCCTGAAGACTTGAACTCAGCTTGAGTTACTGTAAGGCACGAAAGGGTTGTGGAAGCCCAGGCTTCCTGTCATGTAGATGACACCTCCAGGTAGCAGACTTCAGATAGAATAGATGTAAATGTCTCTTCTCAGATCTTAAAAGGTGTCAGACTCTCTGGAAAAGACCTAGTAAGAGAAGATTCTCTACATAATGTAAATTTTCCCTATAAGAGACTTTTGAAGGACCATTTCAACATATGTCAAAGAAACATATTTTGGGGTAAAATACTTTTATTTCCTTCAGGGTCCACTGTGTATCACATGATTTTATACCAAAGACAAGTTAGAACTTGGTATCTTCTTTGCTACAAAGAATTTGTTTTGTCAGTCTTAATATCTTTCTGCGTTAATGTTGATGCTGGTCAGTCGTGACTGAATTCTAAAGGGAGGAGAGTGTAATGTCTGACTCTCCCTTTCCCTCATGGCCTGAACTAGCTTTTCAGGCTTTTTTGGTTTTTTTATCCCATTGGCTAAGAGGTTGTCCAGTCAGTCAGTTGGGGGGGCTTAGAATTTTATTCTTGGTTCACACATTCAATTCTCACAACAACGTTAGATGGTACTATTATCATCTCTATTTTATATATGAGGAAACTGAGGCAAAAAGAAAGTAAATATCTTGGTAAAAATAATCATTTCCTTTGTGGTTGACCTGCAGTGAAACTTTAAGCACTATACTTTACTGTTTACTTCACTCAAATAATATCTGTGAAAGTGTTTTCAAACTGAAAAAAAAAAAAAAATCAAATGCACTGAAAATAAGTATAAAAAGAAATCCACTCTGAAAATAATGAAAATTGGTTCACCTTTAAATTTCTGATTTTATGCATTCTAGTATGTAAGGAGTAATAAACAGAAACTCTGTAAATGATGTTTTCCTGATAATTCTTTTCAGTTTCTATATTCTAAAAGATCAAATATTTGTCTTCCTCTTTCGTACTTATTTAAAAAATTCTGCTTCAATTTCTACATACCTAAATCAGCAGCATAATCCCTTGATAAATGCTTTTCTTCATAATGCTAAGGACAGACTGAAATTGATGCTTTCTCTCAACTGCAAGCAAGGGAGAGAAAATCTAAGAGCTGCGAACTTTCCCTTTTGTTTATTCCGCCTGGCTAACCACCCAAAGCAGCCTCTCTCATCTGCCTTAACTGCTGCTATTGGGAAGGTCAGAATTGTGCTCCACACATCTGTCACCATATTCCTCATGACTTTTAGGCACCAGAACCCAGAGGAATGGTAGAATTGAGCTAGGTTATTGATAAATATTGATAGCACGTATTAAAACATACTAGTGCATATTGGCTAGTTCTGCTATTTGGGGATTTTTGTTCTCTGACTGTCCTTGATCTTGCCCGTTGCTTTTCAATTATTTTCACACTTGCGTTAATGTATTCTGAGACATAAGCAAGGATAAGGAGAGTAATGCAAACTTAAATGAATCCCTTCCATTGCAGTTGTAAGCGAAAGTCTGATGGGGTAGAGCTGAAAATGACAGACATTTGCCATGTGACTTTCGCTCTTGGGAAAATGGGTAATTTCATCCACCTTTTTGCATTGCTCTATTTCTGGCATTTTTTCCTACTGAGAAAAGTTTTCTTATGCAACAGCAAATAAAATAAATATTTATAATAACTCCTTGAAAATATATTAAAGATTAGCTTCAAGTTTCAGAAAAAAATGTAACTCTTCAATATCTCTCAAAGCACAGGAAAATGTATAGTTTCTTTGTGTGTTCAGCATTGATTCATCTGGATGTAAAGACTGGCTCAGCCTTAAGAGTCTGGGAGACAGCTAATTAACAATCCATTCAACTGATATTTAGTTGGGCTGCTCAAAAATTGTCCCTTGCTACGATAGCTAATTTATAAAATTAATAGTTAGAGATTAGTGTTCATGTATTTTTGAGTAGAGTATTTATTGAATAACTGCTATGCTCTTATTCCTTAGTGTTATATAATATGTTATTTGGCTCTTTCTAAATTGTTACACCATATAACAGGCAGCAGGATAATTTGCTTAAAAAATAGAGATGTTTATAATATATTTACACATATCTTATAAGATATTTATAATATATGATGTGTTCATTTATGCACATATTTGCCTGACTAGCAAGATGATTAGTAGAAAGATAGATGGATAGATTAATAGATATATAGATAGGTAGGTAGAAAGATAGGTAGATAGATGCAATATAAGGCAATAGTGCTCTGTAAGTATAAGACAATTTAGACAAAGAAAAGAATAGCATACAAAACATTATACAGGCTAGAAAATAAATGCTCTAAAAATATTGTAAGAATTCTGGAGGTCAGTTTTCATAAGGAGAATCATAGAAACTGAAAAAGCAGATATGCTTTAGTAATTATGGTTTTAAGCCCAAGCTTAATGTGGCCTAGAATCCCCTTGGTGGGGAATCTAAATGTTTCAATGACAAGACAGAGAGCTCTAAACATGGACAACAAAGGCAGAATCTTTTATCTACTGGGAAAATGTTAAGTTAAGTGCCAGAGACAGGCAAAGAACAAGCAAGATCATTTCTAGGGAGTCTGGAAAGGTAATGGTCTTAAGAATCCAATAACAGAGGAAGGTGAGAAACAGGATAATCGTTGATAGGTATAGTTACACATGCACAACCATAGGCTAGTGGACCTACCAGGATATTCCAGAAACTCAATTTGTAGTACAAAGTCTATAGATGCTGTGTTTAAAATACTTGTAAGTCTAACTTATGTTATTGTAAGTATCAGTGTCTTACCAAACATGTTTGTGCAGATTCTGATGCCATGAATGGAATTAATTGTGTAATGTGTATATATTTCACTCAAAATAATAAGGAAACCAAGGCAAAAGTGAGGATAGTGAGGACTGGAGTGGCTACAGAAAGCCACTCTGAAAAATGGAACCTAAGCTGGTCATTGATACGTGGGCAGAAATGGACAGGCAGAAAGTAGTAATGGAGAAATTAGGGCAGAAAATAAAGGTATGGGAGAAGTAATGAGAGGATTTCAAGATAAGTGGAAGGAAATGAAGATTTTACATGAGTTGGTCCAAATTATATTTAGCCTGTGCAATGTTAAATGCAGTTCTGAATACCAGCTTCAGGAGTAATAAAAAATTAGGTGGTTTTCAACTGAAATAACACTTAAATTTTTTTTCTATTTTAAACAAAAATGTTGATGTTTTTTAAGTTTGTAATTTTAAAACAAGTTCCAGAGGACACAAGGGGGCACACAGCCTAAGTGAGAGCTGCATATGAAATGTCTATATTCATAGTTACATTAAGCACTACTTAATTCTACTTAGAGGAGTGAGTTGTGAAGAGAGAGAAAGGAACATTTAATAGCTCATTTTGCCTGAGTTTCCCAATCAGGTAAGTACCGTGGAACATGACATCATAGTTATCAGTGTGGATCTCACTTTAAAAATAATTTATTTGTAAACATTTGGTGGACATGAGAGCTGGATTATAATTCTAACAATCTGATAGAAAGTAAAATTTGTATCAATTCCATTATGGCAAGGTCATTTATTATTCCTTATTGGGTAACATATTACGTATATTTTTTTCTGAAACCTTCAATTAATCACCATAATTCAGCACTCATGTACTTCTTGATATTAAAGGAAAACTTTCAGGGGAAGAAATTTTCAAAGAATTAACAATGGCAAAACCATGCTTTCCTTGTTCACTAGTTATTTGGAGTGAGTATAGTTGTACACACTTCTTATTCTCCTACCACAGTTCTACCATAGTTCTATCATTTTATTCACAATATATATTTGCCCATCTCTCTTTTACATATCTAAATTGTGCATATTTTTCTTTTCTTTTCTTTTCTTTTTTTTCTGAGGCAGAGTTTCACTCTTGTTGCCCAGGCTGGAGTGCAATGGCACAATCTCGGCTCACCGCAACCTCTGCCTCCCAGGTTCAAGCAATTCTCCTGCCTCAGCCTCCCTAGTAGCTGGGATTATAGGCATGTGCCACCAGGCCCAGCTAATTTTGTATTTTTAGTAGAGACGGAGTTTCTCCATGTTGGTCAGGCTGGTCTCGAACTCCCGACCTCAGGTGATCCACCCGCCTCGGCCTCCCAAAGTGCTGGGATTACAGGCGTGAGCCATGCACCCGGCCTAATTGTGCATATTTTTCAAGGGCAAACTCAAAATATGGTAGCTGCATAAACCCTTCCTTGATGATTCTAGTCTTCATTCATCTCTCCCTGACACTTAAAAGAAATTAATCTTAAAATGAAATGAAAGATAAAGGCAAAAGAATGCCATGGTTGATGAACTAAGATTTGAAAATACTTGGGTTTCAACCACTGTGCTACTATTTTCTTTTACCTGTCAGGCAAATTACTTACTCTTCATTTTCCTCAATTTTTTCTGTTGTAGAATGGGAGCAACAGCAATGTTCAGGGCAGTTACAGGTATTGAATGAGAAGATTTTCCAACATGCTTTACATGGTACTTGATTGTAAATTCTCAGTAAATGTAAGACATTTCTGCTAGTAAAATATTAGAATTATTATTATTCCACCATCAGAGAAATTTTTAGAAATGGAACAACTCCATATTTTGTATTCACAGCAACTGCTATGTTTTTTCTGTCAATAAAAATCTTAACTAGCCTTCTATATCCAGTTCAAATCTTATATCTATCATTAACACTGTCTCAAATACTTTAGTAATCATTAATCTCCTTTGAATTACCCTAGTATTCTTAGGGAGTTACATAATACTTTAACAACATGATTTATAGAACTTTGAATGCACTTTGAATTCAAACAGACTGAAGCTTAAATCTCTTCTCTGTCATTTCCTTGCTATGTATCATTAGACATGTAACTATAACTGATCAAAGGTAAGGGATTTTACAAGTTCCATATAAGAAGATCTAAAAGAATTGTTCTATTTTCCAACTATGTGTCACATATTTAGATGTAATATTTAATTTTAAAATTTGGTTATACGTAAAAAAGCATTTGTTAAACAACGTATTAATTTAGATATAGCATTTTTTCATATTTCATAACAATTATTTATCCATTCATCATCATCTTTGGTATCAGCATCTCATAAGTCAGTCATTTCTAAGGTCATCAAACCCTATTTTCCAGAGCTAGTTGAGATACTGCATTTTTGAATTTCTGAAGGATGCTGTCTATGGACATTTTACTTTAAGTCTCAAGTTTCATTTGCATAACCTTGGCATAGTTGATTACTTTTTTCATTTGCTCTGTAGGAATAGCTGTGATCCAAATTGTTTACTGCTTTGGGCTTTTAAATGACTTTAAAAGTCTTGTTTATAATCATCCCAGTACATGGAGGTGAGAGATTATATCTCCCAGGAATCATTATTAAACCCATGTTAAGTTTCTTGGCCTCTCTCTTTTTTTTTTTTAATTTAAACTCTATTTCTAGAATCATCCAACTCCAGCTATGACTGAGAATGTTTCAAATTAGGATGTCTCCATCTTACGCTATTTTATTGTATAAAATAAGGTAACTGGGGGTAGCCCAAATTTTGAGCAGTACTAAAGGACTCAATCATGAGGTTATTCTGTTTATGAGGGATAGTTTTGTATTTGAGCATATGTGGAACTCATCCCCTTTGTGTGTCAGCAATCTCACTTATAAAATAGTATTGTCTGTGTATATCTACAGTTACAGAATTGTGGGGATGGTGAACTAAATGAGACGGCAGGGAGCACACGGGGTATCGTGCCTAGCACACTTTGCATCTTTCATACATTTTACAGTTAGAAAGAGTCACTAAACTCATTAGAGAATACTGATGCCAGGGTAACTTGCCCAAAGCAATGCAGCTAACGTGAATCTGTACACAGTTTATCCTTGAGTAGGCAGTTAAAAATACCTTTCTTAAATTGAATATACTATACTATATTATGGTATATTATAATTTCTTAAATTGAATACACTATAGATGATAGTAAAAAACTTCAGAACTAGATGAATAGAACATTAATTCATAGCAGATTTAAAGGGTGAAAAAACGAGGTGAATGGCTCAAATTTTTGGCACATGAGAAAAGAAAAAAAGGAAATAAAAATCAGTGACTGGAAAATGGTCCTAGAGATATAACTGTCAAGGAGGCTCAATGTATTGACAATTATGTTTTCCAAATTAAGACTTTTGGTTTGGTAGTAGATTGGTTCATATGAGTGTGAGTTTTAACTTTCCTGTACACAAAGGGTGTGAATTTATTCTAGATAGCTGTCACTTTGTTATCTATCTTCTACTTTCTGTGTGTACTCTTATTTACTCAAGGCATTTAAAAACTGACACAACACATTGTTATTCATGAAGTGAATATATTTATAGAATAATTTTATATCACTACCATTATACCTTTATAACTACTTGGTGTATTTGTTTTTGATAGAAATTAAAATAAATTCACTTATTAAAATATATATGCAACTATTAAAACACAAAGATACTGAAATACAAATGTATACTTACTTAAATGGCTTTGCCTTTCTGTTAGTTCACATAGTACAGTTTGGAGCACAGTTTGGCAATTAGATAACCTTAATGCTTGGGACTGACAATCATCTCCGGTTTCATCCTATTGTCACAGTGGTATTTTTCACTTGTCTTTTATGCGAACTCTTTGCTCCAGTCACCTAGTGTGCCTCGTTTCCACCCACAGACCCTACATAATAAATCTCAATGCTGTGACTTCGTGTCACACCAGAAAAACCCATCACCTTTCTTCCCATTTATCAAAACTCGTTTCTCCAGATCCAGTCTTTTTGCTCCAGAGAACTTCCCCGTGATCCTATGTTGTTTTATCCTCATCCTGTTCAGAATTTCTACAGCTCTGATTATCATATTAGACCATCGTAGAATTTCAGAAATACTCAAGAGGTGACAAAATTTATAGACAGGAAAAGTGGAGTCTTTCAAAGAGCAAATGAAATCTCCAGGAAAAAGAAAATAACATCAGCATGCTTCCAGGAAAGATGAAGAGCTTCCTTACAGAAACTCCATTATGCAATCTGTCATAAAGAATATAATAAACACTCAACGCAGAAAGAAATATTTCTCAGTACTAAAGAAGCACCTATAAAAATCTGGAGCTCAAGCTATGTTTTCCGAACACGAGTTAGCAGGTTCAGAGTCAATGCAGTTGCTCATTTATGGTAAGTTCTTTGATACCATGCACTTTTGTTTAATGAATGTGAGTGTATCTTGTCTCCCAAATTAAATCGGCTTATAGGAGACAAACATATGTCTTTCCTTAACTATTTTTATCATTATCATCTGAATACTCAGTAAAAACTTTTAGAATTATTAAACATGAATCCTAATGGTTTAAAGCAAGAGTTTTCAAACATTTTAGATCTCAAGATTCCACTCTTAAAAATTATTGAGAATTCAGTGGATCTTTTGCTTATCTTGGTTACATGTGAATATTATTTACTTATTAAAAATTAAAACTGATACATTAAAAATATGTATTCATTTATTTTAAATGAATTTATTTTAATTTAGTAAACTTTAACAATTTAAAATATGAATATTAATAAAAGTTTAAAATTTAAATTATCAAATTTTAACTTGAAAATTTTTAACTTGAAAATTTGATAATTTATTAATTAATGTAAAATAGCATTAATATGCCTTTTATATGTTAACATAAATAACTTTTGAAAAAAGTAATTATAATTTGCAATCAAAAATATTTGTTGAGAAGAGTGTCAGTTTTATATTTTTCCAAATGCATCTAGTTTAATACAAAACAGCTAGATTCTTATATCTGCTTCTTAATGAAATATTTGCTAATATATTGTTTAGTTAAAATATATGAAGAAAATCTGAGATCACACAGATACTTAGTTGGGAGAGGGAAAAGTATTTTAATAACTTCTCCGGGTAGTTTTGGATATTTTCTTTTGATACTACGCCAACTATCATACACAAGATGATCGTTTTCAAAAGTTCGATTGCAATGCGGAAATCCAGAACCAAGTTAATAAATGCTCCACATTTTGTTACACTTAGAATTCATTGGTCAATCTTGCGATTTGAACAAATCTTCTTCCATGGATTGTTTTGAAAAATCCTGCATTCGTCATTTGAAATCATGGTTTACTCTCAAGTGAAAGTTTTAATGTTGATGTGTTTTATTATGTAATATCAAAAATGAGATTCACTAATATCACCACCAATTTCATCGGAACAATTTTTAAGTATTGGAAACCTGTCCAGCTCCATGTGGTAGATGTAAATTTCTAAAATTCTAATTACTATTTGAAAGTTTGATGATATTGTCATTTATTCTTCAAGTAACAAGCTAATTCATTCCTTTCTGAGGCAACATCTATCAAATACCCAAGTTTGAAAAGTCATAGTTTGTCAGTTGGTCATTATAAATAAAAAACAGTACTCTAAACAAAGTGGCTAATTTTGCATGCTACTCAATTGCCCAAGTGCTTTTCCTGTGGACAGCCACGTAACATCAGTATGGGGCAGAACTGGCTTATGTATATTTACCATTTCTTCATACAGAATATCATAGAGCTATGTAGTCAAGGATAGAGATTTAATAAAATTAATAATTTCTAAGAATTATGCAAAGACATTTTTTGAGTTTTGTCACTTTGTCAGTGTGAATCAAAGACATTCTTAAGTGAAACTGGCATATCTTTACCGTGTGTTGTGATCAATGATAAAATGCCTGCTAGTAGAATTGGGTGCCACTATGTTTATTCATTCCAATGCACCAGCAATTTTATTTACCATAATTTCTGTAACATCAGTACAAATGTCAACAGAGTGAAAATGTAAAAATGCTCTTAGTTGTATTATAAAAAGAGTGTTGACATTGTAGATTATTTAAACAGGTCTTGATTA